CACATAACAATAAAATATTTTGTTGAGTAAGTATCTCACTATTTTATTTAAAAAACGTCGTCATTTTGTTTCACTTTTGACAATATGTAGTTTTTTTTGTTTTTATATCGAGTTAATTAACAAATATACTATATCATATATTTCGTTTGATGTCACATTATACAGTGAGTAATGAAAGAGAAATTATTTTTTTAAAGGATGGACATCGCGTACAATACGAATAAGACATCTATTTTGAATATTTACAATAAAAATTCGTTTGATGTGAGTTTTTGTGTAAAATTACAATAGTTTCTCAGACAAATTGGTTCTGTCAATAGCCGATCCGAGTGCGGTTCGTATCATATATTATTTACGTATATTTACGGCAGCATAATATAATACCACCCTTCCCTCCTCGCACCCACTCGGTTAGCCTTCGTTATCAGGATATTTTTATTATTATTGTTATTTTTTTTTTTTAACAAAACGCGTTGTCCGATTTTCGTTAGGGAAAATTTATTGGTAGAGTTTAGTTTTGTTTAGTTATGTTTTTTTTTTCCATTCAGAAGGTCTGACCCCGTCGACGAAGAAATATCCGACACAGACCTTTTGAGAAGAAATCAAAACCCACAGACCTCCACCGCCGCCGTCATCCGGATCACCGGCAGCCAACCGTAATTCTTAATAATACCCGAGATTTTGGCGTCTCGTCCAGCAAACCAACGTAAATCACGGAAGTTTAATCAAAATGAATGGGCCACCGGAAGTCGGAGAGCAAACAAAAGTGTTGGCGTGTGCAATGTTCATGGGCTTTGGGCGCGTCGTTGGGCTGCCTTTGCCGCCACCACTACCACCAGTCGGTCTTTGATGGATTTCTACGGAAGACGACATAACTCACAATTATCGCTGCTGTGGATTTTGCCGCCGTCTTTTCCTTCTTTCATTTGCTCCTAATTCGATCTCACAGTATCACGGGCATCACTTGATCGCCTAATGACGGTGATTTCTACCTAACCTTGGTTTCTTGGGGTTATATTAAGATACGTTATATCTTCAGTGAGTTAATTTTGAAACTTTTCTTCTGATATAGGTATTCATTGGTCATTTCAACGGCCACTATTGATATAATATTGAATCGAGGTAATCAAAGAAAAATCGTTCATCTAGCGATTCGGTGGTACTTATTGTTATGTGRTCACACTTCAGATGCGTATGATTCATTTAGAAACTACACCCACATTTATTACGTCTACGGATTTTTCCGCCGTATTTTTCACCTATAGTTTACTTTCGATCCGATAACACCATACTATCACGAGCATCACTAGTACAACACACGACCGAAGTGCGGGTTTGTATTACGTGGTTTTTAAAGATATATAAATAGGTACTTACGTCACGTCTCCAGCAAATAAATTGTTAAATTTTTTGATTTGATTCAACGGCTATGTCCATTTGTCAAGTCCAGATTAAGAATCAATGGGCTCCAGMAAACCATACACTTATAATAGTAGTATCGACTTAAACTTAAAATTTTTATGACTGTATATACTTGTATAATTTTTACTCTAATAATTATTAAGTACCTCGCACAAATAGATAGTAAAAAACCTAATACCAATTATTGCCCCTTACAATCATAACGATGATGCAGATAAATATATATAAATATATATAATATATAAACATATATAATCGAAATACCAAACTGACTCACTGATMGCTGTATTTCAAAAATTGTTGGAGTACGGACTTGAAATTTAGAATAGCGGTTTCTCTATTACTTTAACCGTGCATCAAGAAATGATTTTTCAAAATTGTGATATTAAGGAGTTGAAATTGGCAAAAATAAATTTTTACGAGTAAGTTGTTGGTATATCTATATGTATATTATACAGTTTATTTATATAATAGTAATAAACTTTTAAATAATAATAGCAGTCTGCTGATAATGTTTGGTGCACTTGTTCCGAGGAAATGTCAATTATTATTTATAAATGCTATAAAATTATCTTTTCCGTAAATTATTTTGCATATTATTAATGACGTATGTTTGGTTTAATCTCTGTAGCWAGTTAACTGATTTAAAACTTTATTTTACTATCAGAAAGCTACACTATCCTATGTTATATTTTATTTTGATAAGTGGCCTTTAATTTTTTTTATAGTATAACTGATAATACATATATAATAATAATAGTAAATATAAATATTTTGTTGTTTATTGTTGGGTTTTTTTTGGCTATACAATTTAGTAKGGATGAACAAGAAATTAGCAATTTGTTATTAGGTAAACATTTTGAAAATTGTTTCACCCTTAAAAAACTAAAAATACGATAAAATATTACGATTGAATATAATTTATGTCCTGTATTTTATATGACTGTGTTAAACCTGGTTAGTGACCTACTACTACTACTACTACTACTACTACTACTTCTACTACAACTTACTACTACTATTAAAACAGTTTTTTTTTTTTGAAAACTGTACCATTAAAAAAATATTTATAAATATTGGTGACAAAGATGGCCGTAGTCAATTTGCACCAAAATTGACCCAAAATATTTACAACATGTGTAATTTGCACCATTTTTTTTAAATGCGTTTATAATTTGCACCAAAATAAAGATATGTATATAATTTGTACCATCCTCAGGTAGTAAGAAATAGGAATTGTAATTTGCACCAAAATTAAAATCGATTATTTTTTCTATAGTATTTCGATAGTACAGACTTACAAGTTTTTATATCCTAATATAAATTTAGCTTAGTTTTTATTTATGAAATAGCTGAGCTTATACACAATATATTGATGTARTTATGTAAGTACTAAGTTTATATAAAATTGTATAGTTATGAATATAAAAAAAAGTTGTTCAATCAAAAAAATTATATGTTATTAAATCGTATTATTATTATTATTAAAATTATTATTGTCATTCGTGTCAATCTAGTCTCGACGTCTACGAAGATACCGAGGAAAAATCGAATATTTCAAAGTYGAATRTTCGATAATCGAAAAAATAAATAATAATTTTGGTGGAAATTACAAATTCTATTTTYGACTACCTGAGAGTGGTGCTAATTACATATTTTTAATTTGGTGCAAATAACAAACTCCCATAAAGATGTGTTCCTAGTACACCACCTTAATTCTAGCTTGGAATGTGTCATATATTGTGTCAACAGGTATGCAAGGAAAAACGATTCATCAGCAATAATCGCAAAATGTTGGGAAATCAAAACTAAACAATTCAACTTATAGGTGATAATATAGCAGTAATATTATTAAACATAATAACTACTCGATGGTTGTTATTGTGAAATTACCATACTACCTTTGATAGATTTAAAGCATTGTTYTTCTCGTTCGCTCCTGACACGATCTAGTCATACAGCTGCGGGCATCACTTGAAAAACTCATGGCCATTATACCGTTATCGGGGTATGTATGTTATCTAGGGGTATGAAGATAATAAGTCGTGTGTGCATAGTGGTTCTGGGAATAACGATTGACAAAGAATAAACGAGACGTTGAGAGAAATTAAACAAACCTATRATATCACTCGACTCGCAAGTGATATATAAAAATAATTAATTATAGAGGTTTCTTCGACGGTCATTAATTATTATTGTCACATTGTTATACTCCGTCAAAACGACTTCACCACAAATACGTTTGGTGGAATCTTATCCCAAGGAATTTAAGAAGATCTGTCGTTTGAAATTCATTTCCTAGATAAATGTCTGATATTTCTCCGAATTCTATGCCTTGCCGCAAGTATATTATATTCTGTTTTATTTGGAAAGTGGTAACCATATTATTATTACCGACCCTATCAAAACCTCATTCGACCGATTGATCCCCCTGAATGAACCCTCAATAGCTAAACTTGCTYTGTTTGTCAAACTTTGGTACCGACCTTATACTGTGGTTAAAGGGCGAAACTATTTAAGTTACTAATATTCCTCAGATGCTCAATAGTTTGAAGTAWAACGTGGTAACCAGTGGTATAATTGGAAGGCGCGGTAACATTTTCGAAGTATAGGGTATAAATTGACACCTTACCTATGTAGTTATAGTAAGGTCAAACAATGTATTTTTATTTAATTGCTAATAATTGCATTAAGGCTGTAGGCTGACATCATGCTGCTAGCTATAAATACTGACCAATTTTTTAAAAAATTGTTATGATACCTTTAGTGGTTTATTTAGTGATCTTCGCAATAATAATATCATAATAACATAGGTAAGCATTTATTAGTTAATTAATTTTAAATAAATAAAAAAGTTAGTTAATTTACTAATCGACTCGTTACCTTAACTACCTACATAGTTTAGTTGACAGTGTTAATAAAACTTATATTTTTAACATGTTTTTATGGTTGTATACGTAAATATTACATTGATACTAAAAAATAAATTGAATTCTATTATGCAATAATATAAACATTTCTAAAATTGTTTTCATAAAATAATATTGCTAATAGGATATTTTAGTAGAGTAGACAGGAATAATATTACATGTCTTTAAATTTATTTTTGATACACTACTATTAATATAATATGTTAAATTATAAATTTATATGTGTATAGTTTAAATATTTAGTAATCATGTACGATGTAAAGTAAATAGGTATATACATTGTTAATTGCGATAAGCGTTTAATAAAAAGAAACTTAATTTATGATTCGTTAACTATTAACTTCTAACTTATCGATCTTGTGTTTTGAAAATTTAATTTTAGTTAATTATTTTCATAAACTTACCCACGTTTGAATGATAAAACCTAACCAAACGTTAATTGTAAATTGTAATAGTATTATGGTTTTGTAACCATTTTTCCCCTGTATTGTTAGGTTATTATTAATTTTGGAGCAACATAATAGTATTACGCCAATAAAAATAATTAAACAGAACATTACCTTTGGGCACTAACATAGGTACATCGATTGCACATCACTTAATAAAAATATTAAGTCTCATAGTGGATATTTAAAATGTTGTACTTACTGCCATGAGTAGTTGGCTTAACTCYTGATAAACGGCAAAACATGACAAAAATGGAGCAATGATTACCACGATTGACGCAAATATCAACACATACATTCCCAAATAAACTTGCCAGATTTCAAGTGCGTCGACCCATTCTTGTAAAGTAGTGTCAAGCCTCGAGTACACCAAGTAGCCCCATAAAAATATTCCCATTATCTAAAAAAAAAAAAATAAAGTAATAACGTTATCAAAACATAAAATTGTTATTGAACTATAAAGGCATAATTAAAGTAATTATTGAATGTTTAAAAGTAAAAACGTGAATTATATAATAAAAGTTGCTTTAAACTTTTAAATTAATTAAAAAATAAATTACGTATGCTATACACATTAAGAGGACGCCACACMYGCATATGTTGTCTCCGTCTTACAAACGTATAACATAGCAAAATCTGTTTAACGYGGGACAACTGTTCTCCCTCAATATTTACAWTAGAATTTTCAAAATTTCACAACGCATAGGTAAGAACTTTATCTGTGTCATAGTGTCGTTATTTTTTTGATAACATAAATATAATTAAAGTTATAAGCTTAAGAAAATACATTTATTTTTTATTTTTTCATTAAATTACTTAAAATTATTGGTTTGTGATATCAAAAAAATAACGATGCTATGACACAGAAAAAGTTTKTACCTATGCGTTGTGAAATTTTGAAAATTCAATTATAAATATTGAGGGAGAACAGTTGTCCCGCGCTAAACAGATTTTGCTATGTTATACGTTTGTAAGACGGAGACAACATATGCGGGTGTGGCGTCCTCTTAAAGAATAGCGCATACTATTTTATAATAAATCAGTAACAATCATAACTCATAATCTATTTCATATGTGATAGATTTAAAAATGCATCTTATAGTCTAGCTATATAATGCTATTTATGTCTAATACATATAATAAATAATAAAAAAAATAATTTTTATTGTTTAACTATTACTATAAAAATAGGTATGTTATTAAGGTTTCAAATCATGAAATTATTTATTATTAAACAATTAAATTTTAGGGTGGCCCCTGGTGTAATACATTTTTTGGCCTCAGTTAMAAAAATGTTGTTAGGTCAAACGTCAGCTAWTGTCACTAGTTCTCAGATTGTTGACCACCCTGCTTTTAGTGACAAATAATCACGATGGAGTTAATAATCTACTAAATAGGATACATAATAGTTTATATATATACATTACATTGTACATCTTAAAAAAAGAGAGAGTTCGTGACAGCTCTTTTATTTAAAGTAGGATTAAATTGTTCTTCATCATAGAGCAGTCATATTTTTAGTATTTCGTGGATATTGTGTTAAATTTTAATTAACTGATAAAATATAATGATAAACGATGAAAACACTTTTTGGTAACAAGTTAAACCATGTTTTTATCCTTATACTTTAATGTTTTAAGTTCTAACTTTCTKGAATGATGACATACAATTTTTTTTASTCTTTAAAAGCAGTTTCAATTATAGARATTTTTGGTATAAAAAAAATCGAATTTAAGACGAACAGTTTGTAATGTAAAAAAAAATGTTTTCAAAAATATTAATATTTTTTGAAATGATGTATAGCTTACGATATAATCTATTATTCTACAATCATTGAGCATATGAATTATCTTAAATTTCTATCCCTAAATAACAACAGTCATTATTATTAATTTGTTAATAATTGAAATACCAATGTTTGTGTTCATTTCATGTACATTCATTTTGTTACGTATTTATTTATTTATATGGATTCATAATATTATTACGAATAAAAATCGTCAGGTTGTGATAATAATATGCATTGTCTCTTTTGTCATGAACTTWCAAAACGTCAGAGTGTGGAACAATATATAATATGGTATTCATACAGCTTCTTCTGTAGTAGGTAGGTATCATAGTAATAATAAAAATAAAAATAATAATAATATATTAGGTAGGTGTTATTTTATAGCCGTTAACAGAGCTGCTGCTAAACTTGTTTCATAGCCATAACAATGCAAACTTCAAACTTTTTTTTTTATCGGGGTCGACACGTCAGCGAGACTAATCACACCGCGCATCAAAAATAATAATGTTTATGTTGACGAATAGTCATCGAGAGGGTGTCCTGTCAATAAATAACGGATAATTGATAGCGTGTAAATAGATAGCGGTCAATTTATAGTGCGTAAATCGATCGTGAGCGACTTTTGATAGTATGACAATTTGTAGCGTCGTATAGAATTCAATCATACAACAATAATTATTAACCGAAAAAACCAAATAAAACTGATAAAATATATCATAATCAGAAACTTAATATTACTATAGGTACTCGTATCTAAAATAATATGGGAAATATAGATAATGAGACTATTCAATACCTACACTATTACCTATATACTATACATTATATCAGTTGTCAGTCGGTAAAACACTATACAATAGTATGTACTACTTCTAACAATTATATAAAGTAATTTTAAAATACATAAAAAGTGAAAGAGGTATCAAATATATTAGTTGATGATGGTTTTATGTACCATTGCCACTAAATATATGGAACTGATATTCTATAGTGTCTGCTGAATGCTGATTTACACCGAACAAATAACTCCGTAGAAGATGGCACAGTTGTTTTTCTGCAATTTTAAACTCCTCATCGCACCCAAAATATGGAAGTTCATAAATACGTTGCAAAAAGAGGTGCAAGTAAAACAGAATGAAAATAGAGAAATATGTTGCAGGAATGGAACCACCATCAAAAAAAATTTGTAAAGATCGGAGTGCTAAAATMAAAAAAAATTGTTTAGACTATGAAAATAAAACAATTGAAGACTATCTAAGAGGCATAGYACATAACTTCCAKCTACAGGTATAATATTTGTTAGCCAGCTAAATTTTAATTATGACAGACGTGTAAAATGACTTATACCATAATATACTTAAWAATTTTAATACTTTTAATTGTTATATATAATTGTAATTATGGCTTGMAATATTTATTACTATAATATATATTTTTTAATAATTGTTTGGTCATTTAATTCTTTAGGGCGCTACAAATTGTCATACTATCAAAAGTCGCTCACGATCAATTTACGCGCTATAAATAAATTGACCGCTATCAATTGTCACGCTATCAATTATCTGCTATCTATTGACGTATATCCTATCGTGAGCATATTATTATTATTATATCATCAGAGTAGTGTGCATTATTACGTGTCCAAGTATATCGGTCCCGGCGGGTCCACCGTAGACCATAGTCTATCGTTGTGGACGTAGATAACACCGCGATGGTATTGGTTCGTATCACAGGTAATAATATAGTATACAAATGATAAGTTAAGTACTTCAAATGGTACCTATACTACTTGATTTGAAAAATTTAGCAAAAAACTATGACAGTTTCAGTTTTAGTTAAAAGCATAAAATTGTGGGATTTACCATCAATTTGAAAGTAAACTAAACAATTCTTCAATTTTTAAGTTTTTTTTTCATTACATCTTTGAGGAGGTGAACAGTCTCCGAAAACATGAATGAAAACCAAGGGAAACATTGTACGAATGAGGAGCGTCAATTACCGATCTACTATATTTATTTAATCAATAATGTTAATTATTATTAATAGCATATTTTAATTAATTATTCAAATTTATTGATCAAATACATATATATATATATTTAAATAATGTAAT